TCTCAATCGCTCAGTCAAGGTATCCCTCCTGATTTTTATCCACCACATGTGAATGTGGGATCACTCGTGCCTGTTCCACCACTGCCACTGCTGCCTCTCTGTGCCACACCACATCTCCTGCCTCTCTGCCTGTCTCCATGTCTCTGCCCCTCTTGCTTGTCTGGATGAATGTGGCTTCTTTCAATCTCTGGTTGTCAGATTTCCATACAGTTCAGTTTTCTGACAGTTCTGGGTGTTGTTTGTTTTGAGATTTAGTTGTAATTCTTTTTGTGGTTGCACGAGGAGGCAAAATGTGTCTACCTACACCTCCATCTTTTTTAAAAAGATGTTTATTTATTCATTTTTAGAGGCAGGGGGAGGGAGGGAGAAAGAGAAGGAGAAAAACATCAATGTGTGGTTGCCTCTCGTGTGCCCCCTACTGGGGACCTGGCCCCCAACCCAGGCATTTACCCTCATTCGGAATTGAACCAGTGACCCTTTGGTTCAAGGGCTGGCACTTAATCCACTGAGCCACACCATCCACAGCTACACCTCCATCTTGATCGGAAGTTCCTATTGTATATTCTTGCTTTCTTTGTTATAGATTAATTGACCATATAGGCATGGATTTATTTCTAGGCTCTCTGTTCTGTTCCATTGGCCTAGGTTTCTGTTTTTATGCTAGTACAGTGCTGTTTTGGGTACTATAGCCTCAAGTATACTCTCTTATCAGGTAGTATGATACCTCCAACTGTGTTCTTCTTTCTGAAGTGTGCTATGGCTATTTGGGATTTTCTGTGGTTCCATACAGACTTTAGGGTTATTTTCTAATTCTCTAAAAAATTCCATTGGTATTTTGACAGGGAATACATTGAATCTGCAGATTGCTTTGGATGGTATGAACATTTGAACAATGTTAAGTCCTCCTATCCATGGGCATGGTATATCTTTCTGCTCATTTGTATTTTCTATTTATTTCTTCAGTGTCTTATATATAATTTTCTGAGTACAGGTCTTTTTCCTCCTTGGTTTACTTTATTTCTAGGTATTTTATTCTTTTTGATACAACTGTGATGGAATTGTCTTCTTGATTTCTCTTTCTGATAGTTTTTTATAATGTAAATAATATGTAAAAATGCAAACAATTCCTGAATATTAACTTTGTATCCTGTTACTTTACTGAATCCATTTATTAATTCTAATAGTTTTTGGTGGGAATTTAGGGTTCTCTACATAGTATTGTGTCATCTGCAAATGGCAACAGTTTTATTTCTTTTTTTCCAGTTTGGATGCCTTTTATCTCTTTTTATTGTCTGACTGCTGTGGCTAGGATTTCCAGTGCTAGTGGTGAGGTGGACATCCTTGTCTTGTCCCTGATCTTAAAGAAAAAGTGTTCAGCTTTTCACCATTGGGGTTGACGTTAGCTGTGGGTTTGTCCTATATATGGCCTTTGTTATGTTGAGGTATGTTCCCTCTGTCCCACTTTGATGAGAGTTTTTGTGATAAATGGATGTTAGATTTTGTGAAATTCTTTTTATTTATCTATTGATTTGATCATATACTTTTTATCCTTCATTTTGTTTATGTGGTGTATCATGCTCATTGATTTGCAGATATTGGACTAACCTTGCAGCCCAGGAATAAAGAAGCCCACTTGATCACAGTGTATGAACACTTTACTGTATTGCTGAATGTGGTTTGTTACTATTTTATGAGGATTTTGCATCTATTTTTATCAGGGATCTTGGCCTGTGATTTTCTTTTTTTGTAGTATCTTTGACTGCTTTTGGTATCGGGGTAATGCTGAAGTTGTAAAATGAGTTTGGAAGCTTTCTTTCCTCTTGAATTTTTTGAAAAAAATTAAGAAGGACAAGTATTAATTCTTCTTCGAATGTTTGGTAAAATTCATCTGTGAAGCCAGCTGGTCCAGGACTTTTCTTAGGAGTTTCTTCATTATTGATTCAATTTTGTTAACAGTTATTAGTCTTCTCTGATTTTGTTTCTTCCTATTTCAGTCTTAGGAGACTGTATGTTGCTAATAGCTTATCCATTTCTTCCAAGTTGTCCAATTTGTGTGCATATAATTGTTCATAATATTTTCTTACTCTCCTTTGTATTTCTGTGGTGTCAGTTGTTACTTCTCCTCTTTCATTTCTGATTTTATTTATCTAGCCCTCTCTCTTGTTTTCTTGATGAATCTGGCTGAAGGTTTATCAATTTTGTTTATGTTTTCAAAGAACCAGCTCTTGGTCTCATTGATCTTTTCTATTTTTCTTAAAGATTTGATTTATTGATTTTCAGAGAAAGGGGAAGGGAAGGAGAAAAACATTGAAGTGCAAGAGAAACATCAATCAGTTACCTCTCGTACACCCTCAGCTGGGGACCTGGCCTGGAACCCAGGCATGTGCCTTGACAGGGTATCAAACCCACAACTTTTTGGTTCTCAGGCTGGTGCTCAGTCCACTGAGCCACACCAGCCAGGGCTCTATGGTTTGTGTTTTTTTTTCACTCAATTTCACTTATTTCCACTCTGATCTTTATTATTTCCTTTTTTCTATTCACTCTGAGCTTTGTTTGCTCTTCTTTTTCTAGTCCTTTTAGCTGTAAGGTTGGCTTGCTGACAATTTTTGCAACAGAGATAATATAAGTATACTTGACTAGTAAACCCAGGTAGAATAAAGTTGTTTATCTGCATGATATTCAATGGTGATAACTCTAAAGACATGTACATTTTTTAAAGATTTGATTTGTTTTCTTTTTAGACAGAGGCAAAGAGAAGGAGAAAGAGAGGGAGAGAAACATCAATGTGTGATTGCCTGTCACAGGCCCCTCACTGGGGGCCTGGCCCACAGCCCAAGCATGTGCCCTGACTGGGAATTGAACTGGTGACCCTGTGGTTCTCAGGCCAGTGCTCAATCCACTGAGCCACACCAGCCAGGGCAAGACAGGTACATTTTAATTAAACTAACAAACTTAAACTAGCTCTTATTCATTAAAGATGGTCTTAGATTGCATAAACTTGAAAAAATATTTGAGTTAGTCTATCTCACTGAGAGTTTAGAATATCTAATCTTTACAAGTGCATTCTTTCAAATGAATTAATTGTATTTATTAAGTTAATGTTAACAATACCATCTGGAGGTATAAAAATATCTCGCATCTGTAGCACACATAGACACAGACAGGCAGATGCAGAGACCTTGTAGCCATGAGACAGGTACAACAACACAAACTCGCTGGTTTCAAAAAGCACAGCTGGATCTAAAGTGTGTTCCTGGGAGATGGAATACATTAATGTTACCTGTTCAGATGGCTAAAGCTTTCAAAATAATAGTTTTGGAGAAGACAATCTTATGGAAGCTGTGGCTAGATTTTGGGCAAGGTTGATTCTATAGCTACTTTTACTTTTTTAAAAAACTTTTTTTCCCCTTCAGTCTTAGGAACTGGGGTTGGTAAAGACAGATGGGCTTTGAGTTGCTGTTGGAGCTGCGTTTCTGGCTCACAAATATTTGGAAGAGAAGGACAATTGCTCTCAATTTCTTAAATGACATCATGGGTTAACCTACCTGTCCAAATACTTCATCCCTAATTTGCTTTTTCTCCCCTTTGGGTATATAGTTTTACTTTAGTTTAGTTTTACTTTTAGTTTAGTTTAGCTTTTAATGAATTCCTATCAGGCTCTTGAATCTTTAGCTTCCAATTTTGCCAAATTTCTGATCAAAAGTTGTTAAGTCCTTTGAAATATCTTGTCAGGTAAAGTTGACATCACTTTTAAAACATAAACCCTGTTTAAATTTTCTAATTTCCATAATCTTGTTAGTCCTTACACTTCCATATCCTTTAATCTGATGGCAGCCTGAGCCAGGGCTTTGCCAATGGGCTCCGGTGCCGCTGTTCCTGGAAGGCCCATGTCCAGGAATCCTGCACGTCTCCCTTTCTGTCCCCTGACCAGTGTTCCCACTCCTGTGCCAAAGGGCTCTGGGTCCCCAGTGAGGGGTTGAGCCAAGATCTTTATAATTTTAACATCAGGGGACAGCTGTCTGGAAACAGGGCCTTGGCTCTCAGCGGAGAGATGGTACTGCAGGTGGAGGTTCAGGGCCAGCAGCATGGGGCAAAGGGGTGTCCGACTGGTGGCCCAAGGTGGCTGTGAATGCGGCCCAACAGAAAATTGTAGATTCCCTGAAAACATTATGAGTTTTCTTGTGTGTGTGATTATATGTCGCAATGTATTTAATGTGTGGTCCAAGTCAATTCTTCTTCTTCCAGTGTGGCGCAGAGACTCCAAAATGTTGGACACCCCTGGGATGCTGGAATCAGACCTCTTCTCCCAGGGATACGACACAAAGAGGTTCACGATAGAAAGCTGTACCCCAGGAGACACCCCTGTTGAAGAGGGGTGAGTGGGGTGCTTCGTGGGAGAGTCATTTCTGTTGTCATTTTATTCATAGCCTCCAGAGTGGTGGGAGCTCCGGAGTGGTGCCTATTGGTGCACAGATGGCTCCCAGCAGCCCTTTCTCTCCCCCTGCTGGTCATGTGATTTAATTATTAACTCAAGAAAGAATTTCCTAGGGAGTGGAATTGAAATTCTTGTAACTTTTCACAGGACCAGACTCATCTTGGCTGTTCTGGTAGATTCTAGGCTCACGAGGAGCCTAATTTTCTCCCAGCCCAGCACTGCAGAGACCTGGAGGGTGGTGGCTGAGACATGTGCAGTAGGAGGGGGCCTGGGCCTGCACCGGTTACCGCTGGGCTGTCCAAGCCTCTGCTGTCCATAGTGGGATGCCAATGAGGTCCTAGGCCTCTGAGTCTCAGCTCCTAAGCTGTGGACACCAGCTTGTCTGCTTTGCTTACCCGTGACACTAAAAAAGCACAAAGAGCAAGCAGGCCACCCTGTACCCTGCAACTTGCCTCTGCCTTGTGACTGTGCTTAATATAGGTCAAATGAAAACAGCTCCCAAAATAGACCTTCTCTGAGAAGCAGCTGGCTTGTGAAATGCTCCACAGAGCAGGAAAAGGTGTGGGTGACAGGGGACCGTAGTTCTCCTCAGGTGTTACGTAACCTGGGCTTGAAAACCGGGGACAAATATCTGCAGAGAAGTGAGTCTGCCCCTGTCCCCGCCTCCCCATCCCTACCCCTGGCCCCGGAAGTAGCCCAACCACACTGCATATCACAAACTTGCAAAAAGCTTGTTCTGTCCTGGGCATCAGGTCACCCCTCAGAGCATCACCTCATCACTCTTGGGGAGCTGATCACCCACCAAAGTGATCACATGACTCCTACCTGCGTGGGCTGGGAGCACCAGAGTGGGGAGGTGGCTCCCCTGGTGCACCGGGTGGATCTCACCAGACCAGAGCAGTGGGAGGGGTAGAGAGGGGTGGGAGGGGGGAGAGCAGTGGTGGGCTGGGGGCTGAGGGGGACAACGAAGCAGCAGGGAGCAGGAACACCTGCATATGCCCTCTTCTTTTGTCTTTCCCATTTTTTTTGCCTTGGCCAGGGGAGAGGGGTTTCCCTAACTAAAGAGAATTGCTTCCTCCAGCATTCATTTTCCACTAGCTCTGTGATGATACAGTGAGGGCTGCCTACAGGGGGAGGCAGGGGGAGGGTCAGGACTTCCCTGGGGAAGGGACACAGGGGCCTCAGCAGTGCTCTGGGAGCTATGCCGCCCTTCAGGGTTGTCCCAGAATAAAGGCAAGGGGGTTGGGCCTCTCCAGTATGTGTGAATCAGAACACTTTGTTTTCTGTATTTTCTGATCCTTTGACAGTGGGGCCTGGCTGATCCTAGAGAGACTGCCCCTGGGCGGGGGGTTGGGGGGGGGGTTGGGGGGGGGGCTAGCCTGTTCCAAGAGGTAGAAAAGGACTCCCTTTTCTCCCTTTTCTGTGTGAGCACAGCTTTCAGATGCAAACCAGCCAAGCCAAAGTCCATACCCCCCACACTTCAGGAACACTTACACTGGAACCACTGTTACCCCAGGGTTGGCACCAGACAACTCGGGACAGCTCCCCTACCTAAACCTGCGTGCTCTGCCTTGCCTTGCCTTGCCTTGCCTTGCCTTGCCTTGCCTTGCCTTTCCTATGGGAACCATAACAGAGGCTCCTGCCCACATTTTCTCCTGTTGTCTCTTCACTGCCTCTGCCTTGTGACCAAATGGGGTGCTGCCCTGCGTGGCCCTGTGTGATGGGCAGTCTGCACTGTTTCTAGGGATCTGTGAGTATGAACTTCTTCCTTTGTGGCAGTCTTCTCCTACCTGTTGTAATGCAGGAGCTCCAAACTGGGGAGCAGTACTTTCATTCATGATACTAAAAAAAAACCATCCAGAGGACCAGCAGAGGTGGACATGCTGTCTATTACTCACATTACAGGGGTGTGCACCAATGGCAGTGCCTCAGTGTGTGGAATACCGCCCATCTCCAGCCTTGGCGCTACCTGTAGGGTTAGAGAGGGAGTAGTGTGTGACTGTCCCATGCTGTTGTGATACACGCAGGAGCCTTGAGACACAGGGGCCTTGCGAGGCCTGGGACATCCAGATACAGACTGTTTTTCTCATTCCTTGTGGCTGCTGGCCAGGCGGACACCTGTTGTCTGAGGTCACGGAGGGACCATGTCCTGAGTTACCCTACACCTGTTTAAAACAAATCTGGAGTACCCTTAAATCACCAGGCACAGGATGTGGCCTGCCCTGGGGCATTGGTGTCACCTCGGGCAAGGCAGCTCCCGCTGGCAGGTCCCAGAGGGGGACTGAGCTGCCAGCCATCAGAAGGCACCACTCCTGGCATCTTGAAGAAGAAATGCTTCAGTCTGGAAGAGGGCACGGGGTTATGAGTCACGCATCCACGCCGGGGGCATGTTAAGATGGAGGAGACTTAAGTGTACAGGGTCCGGCCAAAGTAACACCTGCTTGAGTGTGGTTGGTAGGGCACGTGAATGTCTTGCCCCAGATGGACAGCAATTTAAACATTTCACCTAAAATGTCATATCGAGTACTTGAGTGTGATGTTGTTATGTTACAGAATTACATGCTTATGATTTTGTAATAGAAGATTTTGTAATAAAAAAGGGGTCTCATTTGTGCCAAGCCCTGTATTTAAGTGCTGGTCAGAAGGATCAAGTTGGAAGGGAGGGATTAAGCCACGGGAAAGGACAGGAGCACCTGATGGCTGAGTGAGAGGCAGAGGACTGACTACAGCCTTGTTTGTTTAAGCACAGGAATGCATTCTGGGAAACCCATCGCTGGGTGATTACGTCGTTGTGAACAGCGCAGGACGCTCTTACCCAAAGTGGGATGGCATAGCCCACTGCACACCTAGGCTGTGTTACCCCAGTAGTCATAACATCTGGCTTCTTGTTATCTTTGCAAATAGTTTTTAGGGAAACAAAGTTGCTTCGGGCCAGTCCAAAGGTTATTTTGCTTTGTTTCAGCACCCCAAGTGCTGAGGTAGATGGCGCATAGCACAGTTCCTCTGGCATGGCAGCGCTGCCCTGTTTAAAGTGACTGTTTATATTGTTGTTTACAAGCCTATTGTATTGCTCCTAGGCTACAAGCTCGCACCAGGGGTGTCCAACCTTTTGGCATCTCTGGGCCACATTGGAAGAAGAAGAGTTGTCTTGAGCCACACATTAAATATACTGCAACACGTAATCACACACACAAATCTCGCCATGTTTTAAGTAAATTTATGATTTTGTGTTGGGCCAAATTTGTGTTGTGACAGCCATCCTGAGTGGCCTGCGGCCTGCAGCCCGCAGGCTCATGCATTACTGACCAAAACAGCATGAGATTAAATCCAGCCCAAGATGTAGCTGTTGGTTTGGAACCTGCTGGTGTTGCTTCATTCTGTGTTGTCCTGGATCACTGTGCCCCTTGCAGCCGCTCTGCCTTTCTCTGCCTTGCTGTCTGCCCAGCAGGATGACTGTGGAGCAGCCTTGCCCTCTAGCTTCCAGGTGGGCGAGGTGAGGAGCAGCCCTAAGGAGGAGAAAAGAGGACTGAGCACAGCGAAGACAGGATATTTATCTCCAGCAGCCTCCCTGCAGGGTCACCTTGGGCTCTCTGTGGTCTCCTGTTACAGGTCACTGCTCCTTTCTAGGCAGACTTCTCTGCCGCATTCTCCTTCCAGGTTCCTGTAATAGCTCCCTCCCCCAGGGCCCAGACTGCAGTGCCTGGAGGGAGGTACCCAGGGTGCAAGAATATAAGGAGGCCACTCTCACTTGCACAACCCTGAGGGCCCAAGCTACCTCAGATTCTGCATCAGGGGTGCCTCCCTCACCTGGCCGTAGTCCCTGCTCTGCTGTCCTGGCATCCTTCCAGGCCTAGCGACAGGGCTGCTACTAGCGGTGCGCTATTACTACCCCCTTTGTTTCCATGCCAGTAGCTTTGTAAGGGACCCTTTTGTTACTCCCTCCCAGACTTACTCCAGCCTGAGTGTGCCATCAAGCTCCTCTTGGGACCTGACTGCTATAAATGGGTACAACTTTCTGCGGCACTAGTATTTTTTGTATTATTTTTAACGGTGCATTTTCTACCTTTTTAGTTGTGGTTTTCCCTGTATAAAATACTATCTCTTATAGAGTCTACTTCTTTTTTATTAGACTTATCTGGTTTCCACATTTTTACTATTACAAACAATACCACAAATATGTGGGCATTTCCCTAAGGTAAATTCCTAGTAGAATTTATACAACTTCTGGGTGAAGTTGTCTAAATATTTTTAAAGCTTGTGATATGTGTATGCATCCAAGTTTCAGTTTGCATTCTTCGCTGGGGCGATGGGATGTCGGCGCGCCATATTTTCATTTCTGCTTCTGTGAATTGTTTGTTCGTGACCTTCACTCATTGTTTAGTGGAATGATATTTGTTCATATTGACATGTAATGGTTCTTTATGTGCAAGAAATATTATTCTTTGTCACCCATTGTGAGGGTTATTTCCTTGTTTGTTGGTTGACTCTTATTTATTGACATCTGATAATTTTGTGTTTGTGTATGAGCATTCGAAAATTTCAGATGTTTGTCTCTTAAGAGAGATTTTTTTGTTTTGTTTTTGGTTTCTTTCTTTGCTTTTTATTTAGCAAGGCCTTTCCCTTCTCAATATCATATAAATATTTTATATTATTATTCTCTATGTTTTTTAAAAGATTTTATTTATTAACTTTTAGAGAGAGGACAAGAGAGGGAGAAAGAGGAAGAGAAACATCACTATGTGGTTGCCTCTCTTGTGCCCCCCACTGGGGGCCTGGCTCGCAACCTAGGCATGTGCCCTGACTGGGAATTGAACTAGTGACCCTTTGGTTTACAGGCCAGCAGTCAATCCACTGAGCCACACCAGCCAGAGCTCTTCTCTGTCTTTCATAGTATTGTATTTCATGTTTAACTACTTGAGCTGTCTGGATTTTTTTATTTTTTGAATAGTCAATTATTTTAGCCTTTGTACTTCCCTGATTTAAATTCCAATTTTATCATATAATAAATATTTACACATAATTGGATTGTTCATGGACTGTTAATTCTGTTTCACTGAGCTGTTTATTCTTGTAACAGAACTTTAATGTTTTAATTATTGTAGCTTTGAAAAGTTAAATAGGACATGCTCTTCTTCCCTTGACACCCCATTAACTTTCTTTTTCAAAATATTTCCTGAATATTCAGCTACACTGATTCTTCCAAATGATGTTGAGATTTATTTTGTGAATTTTCACTAAAAACTCAAAAATTTTAATTGAAGTTACTTTATACCTATAAACTAATTTAAAGAGAATTAATATTTTTAAATATTAAACTATTTCAACCAGATACATCAGTATTTTTTCATAGATTCAACTTTTTCTTAAAACATCAAGCCTTCTTTGATATTAAAATTTTATTATTTTCTCCATATATGTTTATGACTTAATGTAGACCTTATTTAATTAGTTTAGAAAGAGCTTCCTATTTTTAGTTGACTTAGATGGGGTTTTACACTTTTCTTAATTAAAAATGTATTTCTTTAAACTGTGGTAAAATATGTGACCGTAAACTGTGTCATTTAAACCATTGTTGAGTCTAGAGCTCAGGGGCACCGGGCACATTCACACTGCTGGGCTGCCACCACCACCCCGTCCCCAGGGCGTTTCTCACCTGGCAAAGCTGAACATCCCCAGTAAATAGTGCCTCTCCCTCCCCCTATCTCCTCAGCCCCTGCAAGCACCATGCTTTATGTTGCAACGAATCTGACTCCTTACCCTGAGTACCTCAGGTGAGTGAAATTCTACAGTATTTGTTCTTTTGCGACTGGCTTATTTCGCTTAACATAATGTCTTCAAAGTTCATCTACTTTGTAGCATGGGTCAGGATTTTTTTTCCTTTTTAAGGCTGAGTAATCAATCATATATATGTATATATAATATATATGAATGCATAATATTACATATGTGTGTGTAATATATGTATATTTATTTATTTACATATTTTATCCATCCATTCATCTGTTGATAGACACTTGGGTTGCTTTTACCTTTTGGCTATTGTGAATAATGCAGGTATGAACATGGCTGTGCAAATGTCTCTTCAAGGTTCTGCTTTCAGTTATTTTGTGTATATACCTAGGAGAGGAATTGTTGGATTGTATGATAATTCTATTTTTAATTTTTTGAGGACCCTCCATACTGTTTTCCATAAGGGCTGCAACATTTTACACCATCATTACACTCAAGTTCTAGTTTCTCCACATCCTTGCCAACACTTGTTATTTTCTGTTTGACAGTAGCCTAGCCATCTTAATGGGTGGGTTAGTTTTTATTTGCATTTCTTTAGTGAACTAAAGATGTTGAGCATCTTTTCATGTGTTTATTGGCCACTTATATATCTGCTTTGGAGAAATGTCTATTCAAGTATTTTGCTCATTTCTGAGTCAGGTTCTTTATTGTTGTTATTGTTATTGAGTTTCAGTAGTTCTTTATATTTTCTAGATATTAATCCCTTATGAGATATGTAATTTACAAATATTTTGTCCTATTCTGTGAGTTCTCTTTTAGTTTGTTGATAGTGTCCTTTGATGTGCAAAAGTTATCTTATTTCCAAGAAGTTCAATTTGTCTATTTTTTAAAAAGATTTTATTTATTTATTTTTAGAGAGGGAAGGGAGGGAGATAGAGAAAGACAGAGAAACTTCAATGTGCAGTTGCTGGGGGTTATGGCCTGCAACCCAGGCATGTACCCTGGCTGGGAATCGAACCTGGGACACTTTGGTTCCCAGCCCATGCTCAATCCACTGAGCTATACCAGCCAGGGCTGTCTATTTTTTTTAGTTGCCTATATCTTTGGTGTCATATTTAAGAATTCATTAATAAATCCAATGTCATGAAGAATTGCTCCTATGTTTTCTTCTAAAAATTTAATAGTTTTTGTTCTTACATTTAGGCCTTTGATCTGTTTTTAGTTAATTTTTGTTTATGGTGTTAGGTAAGAGTTCCCCTTCATTCTTTTGTTCACTTATGTGAACATCCAGTTTTCCTAGCACCATTTGTGGAAAAGGCTGTCCTTTCCCTGTTCGGTGCTCTTAGCACCCTTGTTGAAAATTATTTGACCACATTTCAAAGGGTATAGTTCTGGGCTCTCCATTCTGTTCCTTTGGTCTATTTGTCTATCTTCATACCAGTACCACACTATTCTGATTACCATGGCTTTGTAATAACTTTTTAAGTTAGGAATGTGATTCCTCCAACCTTGCTTTTAATCTAATTTTTTTCAGGATTGTTTAGTTACTCAGGGTCCCTTGAGATTCTATGTGAATTTTAGGATGGATTTTTCTAATTTTTCCAAAACCATTATTAGAATTTTGATAGGGATTGGATTGAATCTGTAGATCACTTTGGGTAATAATGATACCTTAAAAATATTATCTTCCAATCTGATAGCCTTTCCATTATCATATGTTTTTATATGAAGAATATACACTGGAAATTGACAAGTAGGTTTTTGGCACTGAGATCATTTAAAGGGATAATTGCATTAATAGATATATTAATATCAACTACCCCTACATTCTCTGGATAAAGCCAACTTGGTTATGGTCAACTATTCTTTTGTTGTGTTGCTGAATTTGACTTGCTAGGATATTTAGAATTTTTATTTTTCTATTCATAAGAAAGGTTGGTAAGTACTCTCTTTTTGACTTTAAGTTTTACTATCACATTTGTGCCAGTACCCATTAGGTTTTTATAGCAGGTATGAATTTCACACAGGTTCAGAGATACAGATATGTAACTATCTTTGTTTCTCCATAACAGATACTTAGTTCAAGACAGCCCATTTCTGCTAATGAAAGAAATTACTCAGGAGTGGTGCGGGGAAAATGGAGACAACTGTACTTGAACAAGAATAAAAAATAAATAAATAAATGCTCAAAATATATATAAAAAAGAAAGAAAATAAGAAGAAAACCCAATCCCTCAAGGAGTTTACAGTCTAATAGAAAAAGTAGCTGTTGAAATGAAAACTCAGGTCATCAGCTTAGGAGCTATGTGCTTCCCTCCACATCTCCAGAAAAAAAGAAAAGAAAAGAAAACTTACTCATAAAATTTGCCACTTCTGTACTGAAACATGTCAATCCAGAGTATAAAATGAAATCAGTTCAATATTGTACCTTTTTCCTCTCTTTTCCCCATGGTGGTCTGAATTTCAGAGGTTTGCTTGTCTTTCTAGCACAAGGTGAGTTATTTGTCTCTGAGCCTTGTTGCCATGTGCCTAGCCAGTTCTAGAGTTTGAACGGCAACAGACCCTGGACACTGCAGATCCCTGTCCTGATGATAGAATTCTCCAATTTTGTCTACCTGCCCACTCACTACTTCTCTTGACCCCTAGGGCTCGGGTGTCTTACCTCAGCTGCTCAGGGTACAGGGAGCAAGGATAGCTGCCATCCACCCACACACCTGCTCGACCATTTTGATCCACCACCCTTGCTCCTCCAAGACTTGCAGAGTCATGAAAAACTGGTCTCTGGGCCTCTCTGCTCTGGGACCCCTTTAAAACTACCCAGGGTTTCTCTCACTCTGCCCTTGGTTTCAACCAGGAGAGAGCCAGGGTGCCAAGCACCCTTAGAGACTCTTTGTTGGATGTCTATCAATATCCCTGTCAAATCTCCTTCCTGTCTGTCAGCTGGTCACCTTCATTCATTTTGGGGTGAGAAAACCTCCCTTTTGTGATCATGAACTCTATGTTCTCATAGGTTTTATCACTGGTCATTGATTTGTAAAGTCATGATTTTTAAAATACAAAACAAAATAAAAATTTTTTTCTCAAAAATATGGCTCCTGAAAACCAAGTGTTTTTTGGCCTTCCAGCACTGCCTCCCACTGAGGTGAAACTCAAAGCTGGGCAAGAGCTGTCTGTCCCACTCTTCTTGCTGTAGCTATAAAGTGGTAAAAAACTTTGAGTCAAGTAGCAGAAACCAGGAGTTACTTTTAATGAAAAAATACAGCAGTTGATGTTAAATAAAATACCCTGCTATTTTAGAAATTATGTTCTCATTAAACCACTTGGGTCCTCTATGTGGCCAGAAGGTAATTATTCTTTGATAACACTTGCAAATTTTCTATTGTTGTTTGTCTCTTTTGTATAAATTTAAATACCTTACATATTCTGAAAAACTGTCAGTTTTATCAGTGTTTCCAAATTGATTTGCATAGTCTTATACATGGAACTTATAATTTGAAAGATACCTATCTATGATTATATCCTTTTCCTTATATTATTGGCCATTTTTCTCTTTGACCCACATCTGTCAGAGTTCAGTTGCAGAAAATAACATCCTTCTAACTGGGGTAAGCAGAAAAGAAACTCTGTCAGTGTGGAAAATAACCTACAGAATTAGAATGATTGGGAAGACTGAAAGAACAGATGAGGCCGAACTCTCACAGACAGCTTCCCAAGGCCTCTCTGGACACTCAGAGTCCTTACTATGCACTCACCGCTCCCCACACCCACCTTTTAGCTCTTTGCAAACATCATCTCCGTGATATCTCACAAAACCCCATGAGGTAGGGCAAAAGCAAAGGCCATTGAATTCATGGTCTCCGTGGCCACAAACAGGCCCAAAGGACCAAGACCCGGTATCCTTTTCCATGTGCAAGGTCATCTCGAGTCACAGCAGAGTTGGGATGAGCCACTAGGTCATGTAGGTGGTCATTGCAGGTTAGTGCCTAAGACTCACTTCCCAGACACTGCAGTTGTTAACATCTCTGGGGCAGCCTGGTGTCCTGAGGAATGTGGGCCTGGAACCAGAGTGGGACCCAGTTGATTTTAAGGGACTGTCTGGGCTACGCTGTTTCTCTGGGCTACTTTGAATGGGGTGAGGGGCTGGTGCTCTCTGGAAAGACCTTGAAGGGACACCTGGAGGAAATGCCTGCGAAACCTTCCTCTTCCTTTGGTTCTCCTTGCCTTCCTGCTGGCGTGTTGGTCTCTTCCTGATCTGATTTGTAAGAGGTCTTTATGAATTTTGGATGTGGCAATGTAGTTGGCTACATGCAATGCAGTATTTTATATCTGGGGTCTCAATAAAAAATATTTTTTTTGTTTTATAGTTAAATCTACCAATCCTTTGTCATATAGTTTTGTGTCTTTTCTATCACATTTCTTACCCTAGCTTTTGGTTATAAAGATATTCTTCTGTTTCTTTCTCTAAACATTTAAAAATTTCTATTTTAATAGTTTATTTTATAAAATTCACCTGAAATTTGTTCTGTGTTAAAGTATGATGTCATAATCTAATTTTATTCTCACATGTGGAAATTCAGTTGCTCAGCACCATTTATTAAATAGTCTGTCCTTTCTCCATTGACTTCAAATGTCACCTCTGTCACGTAAGGAAGTTTGTAATGAGCAAAGAAGATCCCTGAGCATCTACAATGGAAAACTGCATAGAGTATGGGCACTCTTCCAGGCTGTCTGATTCCGCGCCTCTCACTGACTTGAGGTGTTGTACAGCTCCATCAATTGTAGAGGACTAAAACCAACACGGGGTAAGTCTTGTCTACAAACGAGCGAAAAACTCCTGCTGGCGGACATTCAATTGACTTCCCTCTCCCACTGAGGAAGAAACCAGTTTTGCTGTCATTCACTCATTCTTTTCTTTTTTAATTTTTAAAAATGTTTATTGACTTTAGAGAGACAGGAAAGGGGTGGAGAGAGTGAGAAAGAAACATCAATGTGAGAGAAAAACATCAATTGGTTGCCTCTCATACAGGCCCTGACCAGGATC